TCCGTGAGCGGACCCAGCGCCGTGCCGCTTGGCAGCCCGCTGCCGCTCCCAGCCCTCCCTCTCCGAATGCTCGCCTCTGGCAGTCGTCTTCTGAACATTAATTTTATGAAAAGTTTTAGCTAGAATCATGCAAGAGTTGCCAGTTTTTAAAACTTGGACTGGGGGACAGAATCAGGATCTCAGACCTTCGCAGGGCCGGGTGGGCCTGGACTGTGGCCTCCTTCGGCTGTTCTGAGAGCCTGTGTCCATTCCTTTATCTGTCCTGGCCATCACTGAAAAAATATGTTCACGCTACTCAGAAAATTGAAAGTATAAACACAGTCTTCAGGGGGCAAGTAAGAAGCACGTCATTCCAGGTAGTTTCGTCCTAACATTCCTCACAGATTGAGTGTATTCTGGTTGTCGGCAGCTTTTGCTGCTTTTTGTGTGCATGGGCGTCTTCAGACGCACCACGATGGGATTTAAATTTAGACTGCCGTGTAGACGTCTGTGTATCCAACAAGGCCACTTTGTGACAACAATGAAGGATCCCCAACTAACTCTGGACTGGGTTCCCCAGCACTGGACTAACATGAAAACATAAAATCTCACGTCTAGTGTGGAAATGCCAGAGACCAAGGTGCTTTTCTTCCAAGAAACAATCACCAATCATGTGAGGCCTGTGTCAACCCCCTCCGTGGAACCCCTCCCCCAACAGGCAGCCACTGCACACACACCCTCCCCCGTCTCCGTGCCCCAACACTTCTCCAAAATGGATGCAAGGCATGGGGAGCAAAGGTGATGAAGCCCAGAACTGGCAGTGTTTGCACAGAAAGCAGGATCTATCAGTAGCATATTTCTTTAATCATTGTTATTTACAATTTATCATCTGACAGACTTACAGAGAATAAATAAAGAAAAGAAAATATACAATTGGTATCGTGTCTTTTTCTAATACAGAGAACTTTTACGTATTCTATTTTGGAATGACTACGATAATTTTAAGCAGAAATTAAGTCCGTTTGCTCTTTTCCCCTTGATGAGGTCCCCCATAGCCTGCACAGCAGCCCAGATGTTTCGGTCTCACAGGAGGCGCCCCCACCCCGCTCTGCCAGGTGACAGGGGAGGGCAACGGGGCACCCGGGACAGTCAGAGCAGCTGGATTACACACTTGCCAAGTCCTCCCACCCGCGGGTAGTGCCAAGCCTCTGTCCAAGAAAACAGCTTCCAGGCCAAGGGGCATCCTCAGCTCACTGAGCTCCCCCCAACCCCGCCCCAAGTCTCTGCAAACCCTTTGTGCCGCTGTTAGGGAAAGGCCACTCTGTACTGGTTTTGCAGCTTCTTAAAGTATTTCAAAATAACAACTTTAAAAAAGGATAAACGACAAAACAATTGCCCCACCCCCGTGTGCCAGCAAGCAATGCACCTCTTTGTCGTAGAGAACTCGAAATGCCAGAAATCCAGTCCCATTCACCATGCCGGCCTCATTCCCTGTCAGTTCAGCGTTCCAAAACATTGACCAGATGGGAAAGACATTCCATCTGCTCCCATAAAAACATTAGATTTTAGTTCCCAGCCTAGGCCAGGACCTGCAACTCACAGAAACACTGAGGGCCCGGCCATGTGCACTGCCAGAGGTCAGAGGTCGGAGGTGTTACTGAAAGGCTAAGATGTCAGGACCACAAAGTCAGCTTAGGATCAAAAACTTAATAGCCATACTTTGGGAGCGAGCTAAGCCTGAGCTGTAATTTTCTTCCTTTTTTATAGTTTTAGGCAAAACAGATGCTATTGTTGGGTTTCAGAGTATTTCCTCGGAACGTCTCCATGGCTCTTCGTCTCTCTGACTCTCTCCTCTGTGCTCTCCACTCAAAACGCGTGGCTCAGCCTGTGGCACGGCTCTCTGCGGGAGTCTGGCACCCGTGGGTGCTGGACAGGACGCAGTCCGTCTGACTCAAGTCTGCTGCTCCGCCGGCTCCCTGTGGCCTTCCGCTGACAGACGCGAGAGGAGGGGGCACGAAAGTTGAAGCCCCAGGAACGCCCGGGGTCTCAGTCTTCGTTTCCAAGGCAGCACTGGGGGAACCGAGCCCGGTGCTGGCAGAGTCGGCTTCCTCCCGGCACCAAAGCCCGGACACGAGGCACTCAAACTGCTCGGTCCCCACCTTCCTGTGAGACGCAAGGTCCCCCCGCCCCGCTTCACATTCAGGAGGAGCGTCCCCTTCCATAAACCCACCGGGCTCCCTCTTCGCGCCGACACGGCCCCAGACCTCACTTTCAATACACGTTTTTATAACATCCTTCACCCAGAATCTCTCTCTTCTCCACTCATATTCATCTTTTATCTTCCCGACACAGATTTTCCCCGCCCTGTCCCAGATCCGTCTCCAGAATGGACTCTCGGCAGCGCCCGGCTTCCGCCTGGCTCCCCTGACCCCCAAACTCGCCCTGCCCGCCTCCTGAAGCAGCCTTCCCACCCACCGCCTGCCACTCGGCCACATGCACGTCCGTCCTTACTCTCGGTCACTCCACCCCCACAGAGCGCCGCCACCCAGCCTCGGGCGCCCGCGAGGGACCTTGCCACAGCGCTGAGACCGCGTCCTTCCACCCCGTGCTTCCTCCCGCTCCCCGGCCCTCCCGAGTACACGTGTCTGGACCGCACGGTCGACTCCAGCCCGGCCGCCAGCACATCGACCAGCAAACGTGCACCTTTAAATTCCACCACCTCAAACCATCGCCGGGACAGAAACAGCTCAGGAAGAGCAAAGCTGCAGCAGAGGAGAAGCCCCCGGCCCCCGGCCCCTAAAAAACCCCTCCCTCTCTAAGCGATGCCAGCTCGTCCTTCCGAGTCGGACTCCGGCTGCTTGCAAACTGCACGCCAAGCCTTCACCATGCGCTCTGCCGGTCCTTGGGGTTCGTGGTGCAAACTCTGTGGGCATGGCCAGGCCGGAAGGCCACCCCGCATCTGTAACACGACAGTCTCCGTGCCGGGAGGACTTCCTCACCCCAGAACGGGCTGAGTGCGTGCGACGATGCGCTTTGCCAGCCGCTGAGACAGACTGCCACCGTGACTCAAGGCCAGGGAAACCCAGACACACGAAGTTCGCTTCAAACGCGATTCTGTTCTGCAGGATGTGTTAACGCAGCGTCTCAAGGCAGAAGCGTGAGAAGTGAGGGAGGGGGTGCCAGAAGCGGAGGGGGATCTCCCTCCTCCTGCCGCGAGCAGTCCCGTGCGGCCTGGATGGAGAGAGGCGATGATCAACTTTACGTGTCAGCTCGGCTGGGACATGCGACGCCCAGGTTACACACTACTTCTCGGTGTGTCTGTGAGGAGGGTCCAGGCGAGATCGGCATTTGAAACGTGGTCTGAGAGAGGCCGAGGGCCCCCACCTCGTAGTCTGGGGCCTCCGGTCCCACAAGGGCCTGAATGGAGGGAAAGGGATGGGTTCACTCCCTGCCCGACGGATGAGCTGACACCTGCTTCACTGGGGCCCGTGCCACTGGCCCTCCGGGCTCAGCGCGCCCGTCGCCGGCTCCCCTGGCGACTGCCCAGCCCCGTAGTTGGCTCTCTGAGCCAAGCCCTCGTGCAGATCTTGTTCGTTCTCTTTCTCTGGGGGCTGAATGGTACTTGGCGTTAACCTTGGCCTTGAGAGCGGAGCGTGGCAGGTCCCCGTGTCTGGCCCTGCACGTCACACGTGACAGCAGATACAGACGCATGAAGTGAACTCCCGAGCCCCCAGCACCGTTCGTGACGCCTTGTGTGGCCTCCTCGGCCACCCACGGCTCTCAGGGCGGAACGTGGGCAGAGGACAGAGTCCAGGTCAGCTGCAGAGCATCACCCGCCGAGCGCCGAGCGTATCAGAACCGGCGGAGACAGACTTCAAGGCCGCCTGGTGCAACGTCACCGTCTTACAGATGAAGGCCGAGTCCGGGAGGCAGAGTGGCTGGCCCAAGGTGACGCGCGTGGCTGATGTGGGGACAGGATCGAGCTCGCAGACCGTTGCTCTCCTGCCGCCCAACCAGTGGAGTTTCCATAGCCGGTCCTGGAGAGAACGGGGCCAGCGCCCCAGGACGCAGCGGGGAGGCCGCTGGTGGGGGAGGGGGCCTGGGAGCTTCTGCGGCGGCCTGGAGCACGCTGGAGGCTGAAGGGGACACATTTGTGTGCCCGAAGGGGCCGTGTGAGGGCCACGAAAATAGTATGTCGAGGCCGGTCCTCCCAAGCTGGGGAAGCACCTCTGCCATCCCTCCCGGTTTGTCCTCAACGAGACTTGAGGGGTCCCTTTCCTGCTCCCACCGAGTCTGAGGACCCGTGGGGTGTGAATGCTAGAGCCTGTGCCCAGGGGCCTCGGCCTCGACATACATGGGTCCCCATGAGTCCTGAAGCCAGAGCCTCAGGCTTTCTTCTCTGCTGGTCACAGCATCTCCGAGGCCATGTGTCCACTCAGCTGTCACGGTGGGTGGCTGTGTCCTGCTGGCCTGTGCAGAAGGACATCCAGTGCCATCTCACACCACTCCTGTGTCCCAAAGCCTACATCGCTCTTCCCGAGTTCTTCAGCCTGATTCTGAGCCTGTCCGATGACAAAGGCCCCCACCTCGGGGTCAGCCCACCTGTCTTACATGCCTGCCTCTGGCTACGTACGGCACGCACAGGCCTGAGGCATCCAGCCCGGTGCCGGCCCCAGCGAGGGCTCCCATCGAAACGGCCGAGGACTGGAGGAGGGGAGCCAAGGGGCCAGGATCCAGCTCTCGAAACGCCAGTTGTTAGACTCGAATCCAGGCCCTCACCAAACACACGCCAGAGACCGCCTCACACAATACGGAGGAGCACGTGCTGCAGACATGACCGCCACACCGGTCACCCGGCCTCCACCGGCCTCTCCCCGGGCCCGTTCTCTACCTGAGACTCCCGTGCAGGAGGCACGTGGGGTTTTTTGTTTTGCGATGACAATTTCCCTTCCTACGACTTGCGGCACATGCTCCTCCCTTCACACATCTCCCAGGCGCACAGACCGCAGCCCTGACCTCCGCCCATGAAGGAACAAAACACCTATTTCCAAGAAGCTGGGGTTTTTCAAGTGTGTGCCATCTGCTGTGACAGGGAAGGGACAGGGCCGGAGGCCCACTCAGGGAGCACAGCCGTCCGTGACTAGTTACTGAAACTCTTCCGTCCCGAGTCTCCGCTCGCCCAGCGTCTTCCCTAAGCCTGATCTCATGTTCCCTAAGACATCAGGATTCTTCAAGTTTTCCTTTCCAGAACTATGTTTTAAGGTGACATGGAAAAAGCATTGTAGAATCTGCACATTTATAGACACAGCGTGCTTAACCTTCATAAATTACCTAAGCGACCTAGCCTTCGTTCTCGACACTTTGGCCTATCAAGGAAGATGTCCTTACTAGATTTTATCTGCCCTAGGCTTCTTTTTTTTTTTCCTTTTTAGTTCTTTAATGTAAAAAAAGTATATATGGGTCGGGGTGGAGAGTGGGGAGTGAGTGGAGGCGGACGAGGGAGAGAGAAAAGCGAGCAGGCCTCGGTTCCTCCTCGGGTCCATTCGGCGTCCAGGTGGCCCGGTGCGGGTGGGCAGCAGGTCTCGTGGGCGCCCGGGCGGTCAGGCGGGACGGCGTCACTCGTCCCCCTGCTGGAGGAGCAGGAGGTGCACCTCCTGGAACGAGGGGCGCTGCTTGGTGTCCCTCCGCCAGCAGCTCAGCATCAGCTTGTACACGGAGTCGGGGCAGATGGCCGGCTGCGGGAGGTAAGTCTTCCGGGCGAAACGAACAGAAGAGGAGGCGGTTAGGACGGGGAGCGGGGAGGGGCCGGGGATTGGCCCAGTGCCCGCCTTTTTGCGCTGGAGACCAGCGAGGGTGCTGCCCCCTTCCTCGGCCAGAGGACCCTGACGCCGGCCAGCCCCTTTCCGCCCCCACGTCTCGTCCGGCCCCCTGGGGCAGGACCTCCTGCAGGCCACTGGGTGGGGCTGACCTTCACGCCCACCGACCCTCACACGGAACACGAAGCTGAAGCAAAAAGTCATCGCCGGCTGGGAAGCGAGGGGCCAGAAGCCAAGGCCCTAGCTGTGGCCCGCGGACAGAGGCGGGTCCCGGCCGAGCGGTCAGGAGGCCAGGACTGGGCTACAGGCGCGTCCCCGTGGCCCCC